CTACCCTCTCAGTCGGGAAGATTTTTGGAGGCAAGTTTTTTTCCCCTTTAAACTTAATTATGAAAATTTGATGTTTTGGTATGCACAACTTATTTGTACTTCATTATTTAGGTACTACTCCCAAAACTGTTTCGAACAAAGAGTGGTGGAAACAGACTGACAAAAAGTTCCAGGCTTGGCCGCGCATGGCTGGTCCTCCGGTGGTCATGAATCCCATCTCCCGCCAAATTTTTATCGTCAAGTCTCGTTATGATTCGTGAAGTTTTTGCCTTCTCAACTATGATTTTCTTCTGGTTTATTTTTCCCAATGGGATATGGTTTCATTTTAGTGTTGATAATAATTTTCAAGCATAAATTAAAGAGCCACCCTTAGATTGGGCCCTTTCTCTTTTGTTTGCTTTTTATTATGCATACAGATCATCAATAAATGTTATAATGTAGTGCGTTGGAAAACATTTACTTGTGACGATTTTATTTTCTTTCTTCGCAATTACTCGAGATTTAATCTTATAGCGACAAAAAACCAACCATAGTAAATTCTAGGCTGCAGCAATCATGCTGATTTGCTTAACGAGACAATGTCTCTATCTCTCTATTTCTCTCCAACAACCTCAGTAGCTGCAATGATCACTGACCTTATCAAATTTCTTAATTAACAAGCTAACATTTCAAATTACATTGGAGACAATCTCCTGATTCATCATCAAATATTGGTGTATAACCATTGAAGAAGATTAGTGAAAAAAGAATAACAAAGACCCCATTTGCTAGCATATTTTCCCATGCATGTTGCTTAAATTCAAACTCATATATCTAATCTTACGAAAGGAAAATTCCTTCATTGAATTCAAATATGCAGATAAGCGTCATATGTGTGATACATCCCAATAATTTCCAACATTTGCCAAATTTAATCTATCAAGATGCCATAGCATATTCATAAAACGTATCTTAAATAACAGTGATATAAGATCAGAGTGGTTATGTATTTACAAATAGCTTTCAAGGCGATAAAAACCAAAGTCGATGATCACATTGAAGAAACTAACTTTACCGAGTCGATTGTGCGTTCAGAAAGCGAGCCCTGTATCCACCTCTTCAGCATCTCTAATGAAGCTTTAGGCTGATCCATGGGAACCATGTGTCCAGCATCATGTACCTGTATGTTATCAAACACAATAGTGAGAGTTAAGCAAGTCCATTAATCTCCACGGGCAAATATAAATGTTTGAAAAGAAGGGAAGTAAAGACGGACCTTTAAGAAACTGAGAGGCCCATGATTTTTCAACAATCCTGCTTTAGAACCATCAACTTCAAAAGGAGTTTCAGAAGATGCTATGAACTCTTTCCTGCCACTCCATTCCATTGCATGAACCCATCTCGAGTTACCTGCTCAATTTTAATTACAGATGATTACAAAAAATTATTTTCAAGAAGAATATAGTAAGTTGTAAACCAAATTTAAATAAATAATATTTCCTCTCCAATAGCTTATGTTTTTTAAACGAGTTGGTTCAACATTTTTGCGAAAGACAGGTTCAAATCTTAATGCCATCCATTTATGAATATTATGCAAGTGTTGATGCTTTAATAAGAATATGAATAAATTTCAATAGACGACTGCGGCCCCGCTTTATAATTCTAGCATAGTATACAACTACATTTCACTCTTAAGTAGAAAAGAGCCTCACCAAGCCAGTTACAGATAAGATCATATTCTCCGGCATACACGAGCAACTTTATACCGTTCTCGAGAAGAGAGGGGATACCAACTTCAAGATTTCTCATCCAATCCGTAAGCATGGCCTGGTACACAGTAGTGCTACAGGACACAAACTCTATATCCCCCACTCCAAGTGTATTCCTGACAGACTTCTGGTTGAGGAATTTCTCCAAGTTTGAAAAGTCATAGCAGAGGCTGCCTTCACACTTCTTTCTAATGTCATAATACTGCAAGTGAAAATATCAATATTGAAATTTCAATAGGGCCACAATTATCATCTTGAATGTTAAGCTAATCTTCAATGGACTTTTGACAAATGATAGATTTGTACTGTCTAATATGCAAAAATATATAGATTTGTACTGTCTAATATGCAAAAATATAGCTCGACTCCTGCGATTTTGCACCATGGGGGGAGAATGAATGGAGTAATAGGGTCAGAGCACCTAATATTTCTCATTCATTAGTCACACTCCCAAGCAATTGACACCTTTTTCCAAGAAAAAAATTCTAAAAATTAATCTTTCATGTATTTTTGACTTCCAAACATCAGCATATGTTAACCATACATAAGATAAAATAAGTTGTATTACTTTCTTACATTCAAATCGCCAACACGAGCAATGATAGAACTGAATATGGTATTGCAAACAAAATAGGCAGCCATGCAAGAGACTGTCCCATCAGTGCCTGAAACGAGAAAATTGAAATTAAAGCCAAGTAACTTCAGCCACTGAAAACTATTAGTTCAAACTGGTTAGAGTTCAGGAAGAATTACATATTCATTTAAACAAAAAGAAAAAGAGTTTCTATTAGAAAATATAATTTGCACAATAATGCCCATTTTATCATTTGACCATATTACCATTATAGGTTCATGTCAACCAGCAATTTCATGTCTCAAAATAACACCAAATCCCAGTTTCTGCACCAACATTTATAAATATGACAAAAAATTTATAACTGCATCCAACAACTAATAACCATTCGAAGCTTCTTTTGACAAATTCAAATGAATACACCATTTTCTCCACCCAAGGAGCTCATTCCAACCCAAAAGTTTCCAAGTTCTTTGGAATAAAATATTGAAATTGACAAAAAAGGCAATAATGATTGATAATATTAACATCAAGTGAGCAGAAAGAAGTGTCAATAGAATCTGATTTGCGGAAGGGACAGCCAATCCTGAGAGCTCACTGAATTTGCTGCACATAAAAATGAACTAATACTTCTTCATATATAGAAAGAATAAATTAGCCTTCACCACATCTCACCTCACATTTCTTAACCCCTACTCCTGCGAGTACAGTGTAGAATGAGGTAAAGAAACAATTCAATTACTGTTGTGCAGGTGCAAGGAAGTCCAGAGTGAAAGGGTGCACAATCTTGTTCCCATAATTTCATTTAGAAAGGATGAACTTATCTTCTAATATATAACTATTATAGAATTTTAATATGTTAATAATATCGGGAGTTGGGACCACATTGGCATTTAATTTGGAAAGCAATAAACACGCGCCATTTTCCAACTGCCGCCAAATGTAGAAGAGCTTTTGCAGTGAAAAATTAGAATGAAGATCCTAAATCTTATAAATGGGCAAAAAAGTAGATGGGGAATGAGTGGTTGGAAGGGAGGTTTGAGAGGGATAAGATGTTAATTTACCACAAAGCTTTATTGCTGATTCACACAGTGGAAGCACTTTATTGATATGATCATGATCCGACTGCGTAATTATTCCCATGTCAAGTGCATAATCAGCATAAGCACCATACTGAATTCCTGGATCTGTGAGCCCATTTCCAATAGCAAACCCCTGTATGTTCCCTCAAGTAGATAAATCAACATAAACTTATTAAGCATACACACCAC